GCTAGAGCGGGATAGATATGCGAATAAGAATCATTTGATTCCGATTTTATATCTTAACTTAAACCTTCTCCTTTTTTATCAAAAGGTTCTAGCAAAGAACCGAGTATCAATTTTGAATCTAATTTATTTTTGCTAGCTATGCCCATTATTTTTTTTTTTTGTTCTTAAATCCTTTACATGATATTAGGCTATATATAAAATTGTTTCATTGCTTTTTCAATTTTTAAATATTCTTCAGTATTGCTTAGTTATTCCTCTTATTTTGATAGATAATGAAATAGCTGTATAATTTCTGATCTTTCAGAAGTAGTTTCAGAAATCTATTTCTCTATGTGTAGTTGTAATTCTTTATTTTATGATTCTATTACTAAAATGAATTAGGATACCTTTTTGTTTCTAAAAATTATTTAAAATGATTTTGAAAATCATACCAATTGCAAATGAATCATGTGTTTCAGATACATACTAAGATTCCAACATTTCAGGGGGACAAAAAGGCTGAATTTCTTTAAGGTTTTCAGATATCTTATAAGACAATTTGTAATTGAACTACTTATTAATTTATTCAAGATTCTTTTCATTTTTTAATAATTTCTAATGAAGGTGATATACATCTTAACAAACATCCATCATAAATTTTAGTAGGTTTATTCGATTCGATATTTATTCTTAGATTTTATCAGTAATATCAATAAATAGAGAAATAAATATCTTACTCTATTATTAAGGTGGAAGGGATTTGAAAAGAGGTTATTAAGAAGAGGGCTAATATTCCTAAACTATTTGGGGGGGTTAACTCTAAGTTAAGCTATTTGGTTAATTTTAAGTAGAAATACCCTATTATTTATTAAAGGGGATTTTTTGTTAGTATTCTTTTTAGTAATTATTATTTTTGTTTTGATAAATTAGAGGTTTTTATAATAAATCATTATTATAATATCTTATTTCTTATTCTTTTGGAACATTTTAATTTATATTGTTATTTTTATAGTTTTTTAAAGGTTGGTTTTAATTATTGAATTATTGTTAATTTTAATGATTTTAAACATTTTAAAAATCATCATCAAATTCCTCAAATTACATTTTTTACTATTAGTTTTATTGATAATTAATCGCACTTTAATTTTTCTATAAACCTGAATCAATTAATAACTTTTTCTATTCGAGTAGCTATGTTTGAAACAAATCTTAAAAATAGTCCTTTGCAAAATCATAAAGTGCTTCTTCATATAAAACCAATTTAATTTGAACATCCTTTATCTTATCCCTGCAATTTCGAAATGTCTCTTTAAAAACCATGAAAGATTCATCTGGACTGTAATCCGCAATTCCACATCCAAGTGTTGGTATTAAAATGGATTTTATTTTATTCTCATATATTTCTTTAAAACTAATTTCTAATAGATTTAATACATATTATGAAATAGTTGTCTTAACAAATTAAGGGATTGCTAATGTTATTTATCATCATATTTTGGAACAATAGAATGTATTATATATTTAAAAACTTTGTGATTTATTGGAAGTGTTATGGCTTATGAACACTAAATTGAACTTGACTTTTATTTTAATAAATAATTGTTGCATGGTTATTAAATATTATTCCGACCAAAGAGATCATATGCTTATTATCTCAAACCAGGGGAATCTTGCAATGATTAATCTGAGGGTAAAGCAATTGCTTGGGCTTAAAAATCAAATATATTTCCTTAAATTATTGAAAACATTTTTTATATTATTTAATATTTTATAATTATTTAATTAATGATTACCATTTCCAATGAAGAGATGATTCCCTGTAGGTTATATCTCTTAAAAACGGATAAACTGATTATTAAAAATAAGCAAGAAGAGGGATTGACGTTTACATTCATCCAATAGAAGAGTAAGCCATTAAAAATAGATGAATAATGTAAGTTTGATTGTAAGGTTGGAAATCACTATTTGATTTGTGAGAAACTCAATCTAAAGGCTGAAGTTTATGTTTTTAAAAATTAATATGATAGAGAAAAATATTAGACCGAGGAAGAAGAATTTAAAGCTACAAAATCAGAACAACAATATGATAGTGATGATATTTCAAATGAAAATGATGAAATTATGAGTGAAGAAATAGGGATCTTGCCTTAAAGAAAGAAGAAATCATTAAAATGGTCTACAGCTGAGACCTCGTCCACATATTATTCTAAAAAAGAAAATTAATCAACCACTTCAGATATGAGTGAGCAGTTATTACCTGAGAAAAGAGGAAAACGTAAGGGCTCTGATCCTGTGATTTAGAAAACAGAACTAATTGTAAAACCTAAAATCTATAGAGGAACTAATTAAATTAATAATTTATTATAAATTCAATAAAATGCAAAAATTACATAAACAAAATAAATAACAATCTCAGAAGAATAATTGTTGTCACTAAAACTTAATTGGAATGCTTAAAGGATGATAAATGAATATCTTATAAATTAATATTCTTATTAATGAATCTCCTCTCCAACATATATTTCAAACTCAATTAAATTATCAAATGGAAAATCATCTAATATATTAATCATTTTAATCTAGGAGAATTAGAAAGAAAGAATTTAAATTTATTTTCTTCTTACAAACTAATTATTTTTACTTTTCGAACAGAAAATTACAAACTCTATTATTAAATAAATTATAATAGAAATTTAAAGTAGAATTAGAAAGTTTAAATCCGGTTAAAATGAATAAGATCATATTAAATATTAATGAATTCCTAAGAAAGAATATATATTAAAGCTTTAGTCAGAAAAACTAAAAAGATAATTGAAAATAAATCTAAGCCCAAGCCAATCTCAGATGAAGATAATTATGGACTAACAGATTTTGAAATAAATTCTGAAGAATATTATTAAGAATTTCAAGCTCTATCAGAAGAATTCTCAGGGAAATGCATCCTTTAAACATTTGACCAATCTGATGAAGAGAGTTTAAATTTAAAAAAGAACAGATCTGGTGATAATTAATTCTCTCCACGAAACCAAATCATTTAATCAGAAACAGTCCCTTCAGATAACAAAATTTTCGAAAAATAATAGAATTAAGAGATGGAGGGTGATAATTTGTCAACAGGAACTTTATCTGAATCAAATAAATGTTATGATTTTAATATTGATCCCCTCTAAGTTGCATAAGAAGGAGAAATAGATTATTTGGAGGGTTTAAGCAACCTTTTAAGAACCGTTGCGACAAAATAAAAAAAATAATAATGTTAAAAAAAAAAGAACCAAGTAAAACAATCGAGCAGACTACCGTAAATATTCAAACAAATTCTCAAGAGTAGTCGAACCTGATGTTATTATTTTATCACTTTTGTTATTATATATTGTTAACTATAAATTTAATAAAAAATTAAAAATGTCAAAGAAATATTTTATCAATAATTTAGATAGTCCATTAGGCTAAGAGTTCTACTCTTAATTAGTAAAGGAAGATACTGACGAAGGAGTCCATATGGCAACTTATACTATTGATGACCCAAATAAGATGCCTCCAAAAGGGTTTAAGAAAATATTGAAACGGTATGAAAATTTGATATGTTAGATACAAACCCAAGTTGTCTCGAAAAAAGATGCTTGAAGAATGCGATGTTTATGTATATGATGTAGCCTCTGCAACCCAATAAGATTTAGATTATGTTTGTGATATCTTTAAGAACAGCAAAACAACGCTAGAAGAACAGAAGGTATTAGAGTAGGCTATTGAAAGGTGCTTATTCTAGTTTCCACAGTTTTAACCTGGAGTGCTATGCCAGATAAGGTAAAACCAAAAGTGGAGAAAAAAGCAGATGAAGAATAAGAGGGAGAACAATAGGAGTAGCAAGAATAATAATAAAAGAAGGAGGAAGCAGAAGAAAATCAAGAGCCAAAAGAAGATGAAAATTAAGAATAAGAATAAGAATAATAATAGGTTTAGTAATAACCAATTAATGAAGTTCCTGAGGTTATAGAATATGTGCCTTGGGAAGAAAGTGATTATAAGTTGAGAAGTGCTTCATCCTAATATTAACAATTAAAAGAATGGGAGGATATGGTATTAAGTCTATAGAAGGACAACTTAAAAGTAATAGTTGTTTGTGCAGGATTAATATATGGCAAAGGAGAAATACTATTTCAAAAATATTTTAAAGTAAAGCATTCAAATTAATAAAAAGAAAGCATGGTTATAATAGCCATACAAATTAAGTTATTAGCCAGATGGAAATAATAAGGTTCCCACAGTTCATATAACTGATCTAGTGAAAATGATTGTTAAGGTTTCTGAATCTATTCCAGAATCAAATTACATTTTTGCAGTTGATAATACTAAAGATAGATCACAAAAAGCTATAATACAAGGTATTGCAACTGGAGTTGGAAGTGGTTGGATTGAAGAAAATGATGACTTTTTTAAGGATTTCACTCCAGAAGAAATGGATTGCTTTAGATTACATTTGGATTGCAAACCATCCCAAATGTTCATTGGAAATGAAGAAACTCCATCTGATTTTGAATGGCATTGTGAAAAAGGAATAGCTGTCAATGCTAAGAAAATATTATAAGAATTCACATCAATACATAAATTAAGACCAATCAAAATCATTATGGAATCTAAAGCTGAAAATATGAGATTTTAAGATATTTTGAATATGATTGGCGATCATTATAGAATTCCAGTGATCAATTAAGAATAAATATTTAAGGATGCTTAGGATCCAAATTATGTGTTCCCACCAGAAATGCAGGAAGATTTTGATGAATTATGGCCTGCAATTCAAGAATATATTAATAGCTAAACTCCTGCATAATTGTCAGAATAATTAAAGATTTATTATAAAGTAATCAAGTGGAGATTGAGTTAAAATGATTGTTAAAACAGAGGGTTTATTTTATAGAATTTTCCAAATTACTTTGAAGAGGCTGATTTTATCTTCTATCCCAATAAATAGAAACTTAAAATGAAGAAAAAACCAAAAAAGAAACCAGTTGTTTCTGAAGAAGCAAAACAGCAATCTCAGGAACCTGCTGTTGATGAGAATGGAGATCCAATCGAATAAGAACAGGCAGAGGAGCAATAATTAGATGAGTAATAATAAGAGGAACCATAAGAAGAAGAATAATAGGAGGAAGAGTAATAAGAGGAGGAATAAGAGGGTGGTCCAAAACCAGAAGATTTTTTCCCAGAATCCTATATAGTAATCAAACCATTAGGCAAAACTGATCAATTTGATTATAACAGAAAATTGATTAATTTCTTTAGTGAAAGAAATTTAGATGCCTATTTCATTGATCCAAGAAAGAAAACAAATCATGACACTTTTGAAGATTTGAGAATATATATTGAAAGAGTAATTTATTTATAAAGATTAATAGAATGGAAGACCTTATAATTATTTATAAAATGAATAAGAATTAATAATTCAATATTTCAATTTACAGAGAATTAAAGATTTAACCATCAAATATACTAGAAAATAAGCTATACAAATTTGGAAAGAAATTACAAAAGTGAAAAAGGATAACAGATAAGGTTTGGTTACGAAGTACACTAAATACATATAAGAACAAGAATAAGAATTATAATAAGTTAAACAATTTCCTTTTAGAAACTATTTAATGGATTTTGTAGTACCAGTATTGAATGAAGGATTGGTGGAAGTGGCACATATTCTACCAGATGATCCAGTTGAATTTTTGGTATTTAAACCTTATTATAAAATAGGCAGAATATTTGTATAAAAGGAGTTTTAATGTTGACAATGAATGATAATAAATATTATTAATATTAATTCATATTTTTATGGAGGTTGAAAAAGTTAATATATGGTTAGATTGTGATGTCGGTAATGATGATGCTATGGCAATCATATTGGCATTGTATCATCCCAAGTCAAATTTGTTGGGAATCTCAACTTGCTTTGGTAATACTTGGTATTTGATTCACATAACGACATAGTCTTGAAAATTGTACAAACAATACAATTAGATTATTAAGTTCAGTTGGCAGATCGGAAGTACCAGTATTCAAAGGAGCAGCATGTTCATTAAAATCTGTTACGGCTACTACAAAAATGCATGGGAATCAGGGTAATAATTGTTTTTACAAAATTTAAAGGACTATACGCAGCAGAAAAGTTAATCAAAAATTTCGAGCCAGTTCAAAATATCCCATTGTATGACTTAATCAAAAAAACTGCTGGGGATTAGAAGGTATTAACAACTTAAGAGTTATAGTTCGTGATAGTAATAACTGGCCCATAAACGAATATAGCAATTTTATTGAGGGATCACCCAGAGATCATTCCTTAAATTCAAGAGATTGTTTTTATGGGGGGAACCTCAGGATTCGGAAATGTTACTCCAAATTCAGAGTATAACGTTTATTCAGACCCAGAAGCAGCATAATTTGTAATTGACACTTGCAAATAACATCAATTAAAATTAGTGATGATTGCATTAGATCTGACATACGTACTCAAATAAATAAATATATAGACATGCTAATTAGTTGAGTCATTATAATAGAGGATCAAAGCTATCAATACGAAGTTTTCAGATTGGTGTTTGGAAATGCTTTAGGAATTCTAAGCAGCCTATAAAGCCTAAGAATTTGATTACCCTCCTATTCATGATCGTAACATTCAACTTAACTTCTATAATAGCTGTTGCTGTTTTTTACCCTCTACATCCTGAACTTTACATAACCAAACCGTTATTTGTGGCTGTAGATTGTGAATCAAAATTATGCTATGGGAGAACTGTAGTTGATAAATAAGGAGTGCTTGGGTTAGAACCAACACTGGAGTTTGGTAGAAAAGTAGTGGTTGAAGAATTTTGGAATTAAATGATTGAAGCCATCAGATAAGCAGCGAAAAATTCAAAGTTAGAATGAAATTATATTATTATGATTTAAATTTCCTTTGTATATTAATACTAAATAAGGTATAAGTGTAGGCTGCTGAAACAATGAATATAGAGCTGTACCTAGTTTATGAGTAATATAATTTTCTGTAGAAAAATATATAAATCAAATTTATATTATGTTCATTAATAGAATGCAACATGATTTTTGATTAAGCAATATTTTTATAAGTACTAATAAGATAAGAATGAGATTTTAGAAGAAGAAAAAATCAAATTATAAAAAGATTATAAGATATCAGTTCTATAAGAAAAAAGCAAAGATTTTTATTGAATACAGGTTTTCTATAAAATATGAAAAAAATGATTCAATCTTATTATAATTATTATACATTAAAAATATAAGCGAAGAAATTGTATAAAATAGTTAAAAACCTTATCATTGCCAAGAAATACTTTCTCTACTGTTACCCACTTTATATTGTATTTTCCAAATTGTAAAAACGTATCTTTTAGTTGGATCAATTGATTCTCTATGAAATTAAAATAAATAATAACATACAACAAACTACTAATAATTTAAGTAAAATACTTTGTATATGAATTACATATATGTAAAGATTAAAACAAACCTTAGTAAATTAATAGCATTTAACCC